TAGTCAATCCTCACTCCTACCTCTCAGCGAATTACTATTACCTCCTCTTGTTATATCATTTTCTAGAAATTTTTATAAATGGAAGTATATAATGCATGTCTTTTGTGTCTGGCTTCTTCCATTTAACATGAAGTTTTTGAGATTTATTCATGTTGTTATTTGTATCAGTAGTTCTTATTTTTGTAAGTCCTTTTTTTAAAAAAAATCTTTTTATTTTGAAATAACTGAATTTATTGAAAGTTGCAAAAATAGTGCAGAGAAGTCTATGTACTCTTCACCCAGTTTTCCCCAATGGTTACATCTTGCATAAGAAAATAAGTATCCTTTTACAGTACATACTTTAATTTCTTTAAAAAAATGACTCCCTTAAAAATTTTAGTAAGTATGATAGTTTAGTGTTACTTTAATTTTTCTTGAATTCTGAAGTAATTTTGTTTTCTTCAAAATAGCCTTAGACAATCTGGAAAAGTTTTGGGATGTTTAGTCATAGACCATTTCTGAATGGCAAATAAAGTTTATGCGTTAATAGGTGATCAAAGAAGTTTATCATTGATCCTGATCTCTGGGCCCGTGATGGAGCTAGCACAAGAATTCTATAGTCTTGATTACAAATTCCCAACTTTGCCTGAAAAACTGTGTCAGGGTTAGAGAGAGAAGTTTCTCATAATATCAGACCACAGACAATTTGATATTTCTGTAGGAATTGATGGGTATAAAAGTGTGCAGATTCAGTAATTTTTGTGTGTTATTGCAGGTGCTTAGAATTTCACCACAGTACTGACTTTTGTTGATTTTTAAAAATAAACCAGTATAAGTTTATTTTTGGCTGAATAAAAAGTAAAACCAAGTGTAGAAGTTCAGAGTCAACATTTTCCTGGTAAATTCTTTCAGACCTCAGTAAATTCAAAATGGGAGGTGTAACTTATTTTTCTCATAATTGGTTTCCTGGTATGTAGTGGTGAAATGAAAAACATGAAATTGAAATTAAGCTGTAATAGGAATGTGATGGAAAAATGTGTGCATTAAAGTTACTCTGTTTAATATTTATACTTGAAAACCAGTGTTGAGATATTTTAAGTCCAAACAAAGAAACATTACTCTGTAGAATAACCTTTTTAGTTAGGGACTGGAGGAAAGAACACTCACCATCTGATCAGTTTGGATTGGAAACAGTTTAGGTATCCCAGGGGTACAAGATACTGGGTCTCTCCCTTTGTCCTGATAGTATATTTTGTGATTAATTGGTTTATTGCAAAGTAAACTTCAGTAGGAATAAGTAGACTTAGAATAGAGTTGTGCTCATTAGACTGGAGGCAAGGGACTCCAAATCCACTTCAGTGCTATGGGGAAAAAAATCCCAGTCTGCAGGTGGAACACAGGAGCACAGGGACAGGTAGCCGCCTGTAGAGGAATGTCTGAGCAGCTGATAGCTGGGAGGTCCAGTAAGAGGAACTAGGGAATCTCATTTAACTATTGGGAAGGTAAGGAGCATTAGCAGACTGTGGTTTGGTTATACAGGAGGTTCATTATCTACATTATGACAGGAAAATATTCACTAATGAGGTGATCCCTTATCCAGAGAAGAGTAACAGAGAGTCAGCATGTAATACACACAAGCACACATAGAAACCCAGAATAAATTTCCTAAAGTTAAAATTATACATTACACTATAGCTGATCACACAATAATGCTAATGATTTAATAATAAAAACGTGAATAAAAACCTCAAATGCCTGAAACATAAAAATGTTCCTCTAAATAACTTGAGTTAGAAAGATATCAGAATTACTATTAAAATAGTGACAATCACTATTTAGTGTGTGGCCAACGTGACAATTAGAGGTAAATTCATAGCATTAAAATGCTTTATCTTCAAAAAGAAAATTAATTATTTAGCTCAAAAAGTTAGAAAAAGGAAACTCAATAAAACAGAAGGAGGCAAATAATATAGAAAAATGAATGAATGAACTGCAAAACAGAAGGCATCAGGACCTTCATCTTGGAGGACCTTAGCTGTTCTGGAACCTTCCTAGGATTTTATCTGTATTACTGTGAAGTAAAAAAGGTGGCCTTAGACTCTTTCTCAACATGATGTTTCACTGTGACTACATATGAATTAGAATTGACTCTCTATGAAACATGTTATCCCAGCTCTAGAAGTTCTATCTAGTTTAATAGGAAAAAATAAGTAACATAATGGGAAAGGAGGACACAACATTCTCCTTGGTTGCAAGTGATATGATTGACTACCTGTAGAGCTTAAGACTATCAAGTAAAAGACTTCTTAAAATGAATAAGAATTCATATAAGTTGCTTTATATGAAATATATACAAAAATATTTTCTCTATAAACTACTTAGAAAAGATATGCATGTTTGTGTTTGGAGAGGGATTCTATTTTCCATAGCTATAAAACATACTTAAAATAACTTGACCAGGGCTGGCTGAGTGGTGCGTTGGTTAAGAGCTGGCTTGGGACGCCAAAGGGCCCCGGTTCGGATCCCACATATGAGGGCTAGTGACACTGCCCTCTACAGCTAAGATGCTGAACAACAGCTCAACCTGGAGCTGGGCTGGTGTGAGTCCCCTGTGACGGCTTAGGCTGCAGCCATTGCTGCAGTGGGTTGTCATGGGCTACCGTGTGTAGCCAGCAGCCAGCGTGAGTGGCCAGCGGCTGCCGTGAGTGGCCATCCAAAAGCCGGCGACTGATCTGCCTTGCCTGGGAAGAGTGCAATGATGGTGCCAACTTGGGCCAGTGAGGCAACGTCCTCCACAATTAGACTGAAGAACAAAAGGACAGCAACTTGTTTGTTCCCCTTCCCCCAACTCCCCAGCGCTGTTCCCATCCCCCAATTTCCCAATAAAAATCTTTAAAAAAAACCCCCAAAACTTACATGTCAATACATACCATTTTAAAAAGCTAACCCAAACTGGGAAAAAGTATTTGGAACATAACAGTAAAGACCTCCTTTAAGACCAACTAAAAACAAAACAAAAACAAAACCCAAGTTGAAAGACAAGTGAAGAACAGTGAAGCTAATTCTCAAAAGAGAAAACATAAAAGGCTAACAAGTATGAATAAAAATTTAAATTTTTCAGATTCAGGATATATATGGTAAAGTAGTAGTAGTAAGAGTTCATTGTCCAGCAGCCATATTGGTAAAAATTTGTTAAAAGGATAATTCTCAAAGTGCAAAGAATGTGACAAAACAGTCATATCTTAAATTTACATATAGCTAATGGGAATGAAAAAAGTCTCGGCAGCTTGACTGCAAGTTATAAATAGCCACAGTTCTATAATTTAGGAAAATCTTTTTTGAACTACGTAAGTCTTTTAGTTCATGCTTTCATCAATAAAAAGTTTGTTTTTAGTCTGTATGTCAGGCATTATGCTGAATGCTTTACACTTACCTCATTTAATTCTCATGATTATCTTGTAAGTATTGTGTACTTTTAACAGATGGGCCATCTGAAGGCTAAAGAAGTGAAAAAAATTGCTTAAGGGTTTTACACATTAATACACAAGAAAGAAAACATTCTGTCTTGGGAAAGTGTTATGTAACTTCAGAATAAAAGTTATAAAATCAAATTTTCTTAACAGTATAAAATAAGAAAAATGGTAAAGAGAAAGCAGTATTCACAAATGTTATTAATAGCATGTTATTAATATAAGTATTTCTGTAATTAAGAATGAGGATTATTTCTATTTTTATTTACTTTTATACAGTTGAACTTTTTAGCCAAAAAATTTTAGCCAAACTTAAAAAAAAATAAAATGTGGGACTGAGGAAAACGCAATAGGCAAAGGTGAAAAATCAAAGAGCAATTTTTAAAAAAATCCAACAAAACCAATGCAGGTATGTCAAGGAGAGTCCTTCAAACCCTCTTTTGACATACATCAAAAACTGACTTTGGTTATACACATGCAGATTCACTCTACTCACTTCCTTTGGCGTGTTTCTCTTCCTTCCTTCCTCCAGGATTTTAGGGATTTCGTAAGCATCCAGTGCATTGTAAGGAACTTTTATTTTATATCTGGAAATAAAGGTTAAGTCGTTTTGTTCAAATTCAGAAAAGGAGAATAGTGATAGAGTTCCTAAGCTCTGGTTCAGTCCACTGTTTCTAATGCTGTTTTTTAAGAAAATGGACAAGATATACTTAGCCAGTAGGAATTTTGTGTTTATTTTCATCTTTTTTTTAAATGGAAAATTCCAGGTTCTTAAAAGGCAACTGCAGCTAATTCCTGTGCTTTTTTGTGGTGTTTCAGGCTTACACCAGCCAGTTTGTATCCCTTGTGATGTTTGCCCTCATGATGTGTGACGACAGGATCTCTATGCAGGAGAGACGCAAAGAGATCATGCTGGGATTGAAGCGGTTGCCTGGTACAAAGACACTCTCATACTATACTTCTGTTGCCCAAGGGAGTTGGTAATGGGTGAAATTCTTTTCTTATCCTGGAAGCTGTGGCTTGTAGCTGTTTACTTTAGTCAACAAATCTTTCTACTTTTGCACCTGTGTGTTTAAACATCCCTCAGTGATATCACAGAGAAAAATAGAAACTGGTCTTTTGTTAGCTGCTACCAAATGTTATTGTTATTATGTTGGTTCAATTTATTTTCCCTTTTTCATACATTTTGTTAATGTTACTTCTTAACAGATTTGATTAAGGAAGTACTGAGCATGGATGATGAAATTCAGAAACTGGCAACAGAACTTTATCATCAGAAGTCGGTCCTGATAATGGGACGTGGCTATCATTATGCCACTTGTCTGGAAGGGGCGCTTGTAAGTCTTCTCACGAACAATTTCAGTATGTTGACTTATGGACCTGGCACAGAGTGGTACTCTTGGATTGAATGAAATAGGTGGAGCTTTTAAAAGTGCCTTTGTTTTTATGCATTCTGATTTGTTTACCTTGAGAAAGTGTAACATTTAATTGATACTTAATTCAAAAGGAAAAAACCAAGAAGAGTACATTTTAGCATGATAACTTGGGTTTAGCAAGAAATTTGGGTTCATTTGTTGTTCAGATGAATAAAATAAAGATTAAGTTCTCTAGGTGTGGGATTTAGTTCAGGTCAAACATGAAGCAAGTAGAACAGTTACAAAGAAATATCAGTACATTCATGATACTTAAAATCTTGAAAAGTTCTTATGGGGTTTTAAAACTTCTAATCACTTGTTGATATTATAGGAATAATAATCGGTTAGCCTGTTGGTTATATTTATAGATCAGTGGTCCTTTAATACTTTTGGATAAATAGACAGTGACTTTAGGCATCAGATGTTTTGCGTAATATTTACTTAAGAATGGATTTTTGAAAAACAGACTGAATACTAATCTAGTTCTTTCCTATTAGAAAATCAAAGAAATCACTTACATGCACTCTGAAGGCATCCTCGCTGGTGAATTGAAACACGGCCCTCTAGCTTTGGTGGATAAGTTGATGCCTGTTATCATGATCATCATGAGAGATCACACTTATGCCAAGTGCCAGAATGCTTTTCAGCAAGTGGTTGCTAGGCAGGTAAGTCAGAGGCTGCTGTGAGGAGACCTTTAGGGTCTAAGAGTTGGGTCACTAAAGATTATTTGGATTTTATAACATTTAAAGTGATAGACCAGTGCCCAGCAGGTAACTTACAAAACATGTTTAAGTTTATATGTGAGGAATTTGAAATTCTCAAGAGTTTTGACAGGACCCAGCTTATAAATTTCATAATAGGCAGAGCCAAGACCCAAACTGAGGTCTTGGTCTCCAAATCCTGTCCTCCTCAATTAGAGTATGCTGCTCCCTTTTAATTTAATATTCTTAAATGTATATTTCAGGAGGAACTGGATTTTACATTAATACTATGGGTGTTGTGCTTCACTGAGTTTTCTTCAGATCATTTGGCCTTATTTATAAATCCCCAAAGATATTAATCTCTAGTTACAACGTATACGTATGAACTTGGACTTTGAAGGCAGGCCGACCTGGATTCAAGTACAGATGGTCCCAGTCTTATGATAGTTTGACTTAAGGTTTTTCAACTTTACAATGGTGTGAAAGCAATATGCATAATAAATTACATGAGCTATTCAACACTTTACTATAAAATAGGCTTTGTGTTAGATGGTTGTGCCCAATTGTAGGCTAATGTGAGTGTTCTAAGCATGTTTTAAGGTAGGCTAGTCTAAACTACGATGTTCAGTAGGTTAGGTGTAGTAAATGCATTTCTGGCTTATGATAATTTTCAACTTAAACGATGAGTTTATTGGGATGGAACCTCATTGTAACTTGAGGAGCATCTGTACTGAGCCTGGTGTTTCTTAGATGTGTGAGTTTAAACAAATTACTGACTCCCACAAAGCCTCCGTGTCCTTGACTGTGAGATCAGTCTGACTTCCCACATAAGATTGTGTGTTTAAATAAAGCCTACTGTCAGCAAATGGTGGAGTGCAAAATTTGCACATTCACTTGCTGCAGCCCTGCCTTTTGCTTACCAGTGACTGTGTGTGTGTGTTTGTGTGTTTTCCCAGGGACGCCCCGTGGTGATTTGTGATAAAGAAGATACTGAGACCATTAAGAACACAAAAAGAACCATCAAGGTGCCCCACTCAGTGGACTGCTTGCAGGGCATTCTCAGTGTGATCCCCTTGCAGTTGCTGGCTTTCCACCTTGCTGTGCTGAGAGGCTATGATGTAAGTAAAGGACCACTGCAGTGATCTTGGGCTGGCTTTTCACCTGGGTACATTCTGCTAGTTTTCCTTCTAAATATTTAACAATAATAGCATTTGAGAAATCCATCAGATATCTGTTATATTTGCATGGCCCAGTTTGTAGGTTACATCGTAACATTTTCTTACCCATAGAACTTAAAGGAATCTTGATTACATCAGAGATTACCTCCTTGGGAAATGGCCACCTGCTTTCTTTCTGTGCTTCCTAATGGGGTAGCTACTGGCAGTTCTTTATTTGGGACCGTCACCCACGTTGCAGGACTTGACATTGTAGAACTTTTGGAATTTTTGGTCCCTTGGTCACTATGACTACCACAACATCCTGTTCTTACACAGTCCTATTATTGTCCCCACAAAAGACTGCCACCTCTATAGAGGACCACGGGAACTCTTTACGAGATGAACTGGCTTCTTTAGAATTCTTTTTCCTAACTGGTTTCAAGTCTTTTCAAGACACATTATGTGACTATATTTTCTAATTTAATTCTTTGTAGTCTATAATAAAGGTGGTTAATAAACACATTTTCTTTTTTTATAAATAAAAATAATTTGCTTGTAGGAGCTCCCCCCCACTCCCCACACCCCCACCCCCACCCAGTCTGTACAGCCTCTTTAATTTTGTCTTTTTTTTGCAGGTTGATTTCCCTCGGAATCTTGCCAAATCTGTAACTGTAGAATAAGGAGCATCTGAAACTCTGGGCGATAAAGCAACACAAGACACCTTTTGTATTTAAAACTTTGATTTAGAATATCACTCCTTTAAGCCTTTTTAAAAAGTAAATCCTTATTTATATATCAGTTATAATTATTCCACTCAATTTGTGATTTTTGTGAAATTACCTCATATTTTTACAGTAATTTGTGGGGGAGTTTGAAAATTGAATCTGTATGCTAGTCAGTATCAGAAACAGATATAGCTCTCATTTTCTTTAAAGGTTGTTGGGTGTTGGATTTCTGGACCCTCCACTTCAAGCTGAGAGTTTTAAAAGTAATTGGTGTTTTTTTACCATGATTCTATTCATTCAGACCAATAAAAGAGTAGTGCATTTAATTGGAAGATCTAAAGTCAGTGGCAATGTACTTGGGCGTTTAATTAAGGTTTTGTTAAGTTATATGTAAAGATGCTATGCTTTGTTTTGAAATTTATTTGTGTACTAAAAACTGAAAACATTTCTTGGTGGGATTTCTACCAAGTTAGGTTAACCTTAGTCTTTCAAACTTGTTGCTTGTTATTTGTAGGGCCCGGTAGCTTAGGAAGCTAAATAGTAGAGTAGTGCATTTGTTTTCTCCAGCCTTCAACAGAAAATATTTGTATAATTTCATAACACAAACTTTAAATTTGAGCTGCTTTGGACAACTGACACTATGATTTGAATTTGAAGATGGGATATATACATGTTGGATAATCCTACTCTTTGTTTTTTTATCTCCTGAAAGTGGTTTTTATTTTCTTGTGTCGACAGGTATGTGTGTGTGTGTGTGTGTGTGTATCTGCTGAATGACATATTTTATCTTGTTCTTTGAAATCCCCACACAGGGTTGCCATCAAATATCTCAAATCAGTACTGATACATTCAGAATTCTCTTTAACTTTGTCCCAAAGAAGAATTTCCTGCAGTTAATTTTAACTTCCCTTCCCTGCCTTGTTGTATAAAAACTAATACCTTTGTGCCAGTTTGGAAGTTCTTTGCAATTGTTTGGAAGATTTTGTAAGTCTTTTGACTAATCACTTGACTCAATCTGGTGGGCTAGGCTTGGAAAAAGCTATATACCCTTATACTGAAATTAATGAAGGATAGCATCAAATTTAGTACAGGCATACCTTGGGGATATTGCGGGTTTGGTTCCAGACCTCCATAATAAAGCGAGTATCGCAATAAAGTGAGTCGTAATCTTTTTGCTAGTGGAAGGTCTTGCCTTCAATTTGTAAAAACCGCAACATCTGTGAAGCATAATAAAGTGAAGTGCAATAAAACGAGGTATGCCTGTATTACTTCCTAAGTATTTTTCTCTCTGTATTTTCTGTGTTCTACCCCTGAAATTTATTTAGGAATGAAGAACATATAAAATGATATTGAGGTGCCTTCAGCTGGTTAGTGTCAGAAATAGAAATTAACAATTTAGATTAAAATATTTAGAGTAGAGTATGAGTTTGATACTCAAAAAGTTGTAGTTTCTTCACGGGTTTTTTTTTACCAAACCTTGAGGGTTATAGGACAGCATGTTTATGTTTTGGTCAAGTCTTTCTTTTTGAAAAGTTTTTACTTTTAAATTGTGAAGGTAAGATATTTACCATAATTAAGTAAGCTCCGTGTTTTCCTTGTTCTGTGAACTTCCTGATGAGGTTAAGATTATCTAATAGCTATTGCTGCAAGAGAATTATAGAATTCTGTTTGTGTATTAGAGAAAGAATTGGCACATTTTGAAGTAGTTTGGAAGGACTCTCATAGATGGAGATTAGAAACCTGATTGTGTTTAAAAATAACATAGGGTTACTGTTTGCATTATATATAGCTACTATAAGCTATATTTATCTATTTAAATTGTTTCTAAGATTATTTTATATAGGCTTGCTAGTTTTAGTGTATATATAATGTCATTTCTTATGTTTATTACATTAGCATTTTATGCACATGATTTTCGTGTGTTTGTAGCATTTCTTAATGACGTGAAGTTTGTCAGCATTCTAAATGAAAGCTAGTATGTGAAATCAGTTTTCAATCAATCTCTCTCTTTTCTCTCTCTCTTTCTCTTTTCTCTCTCTTTCTCTAACATACTTCAAGCTAGGGTAAGTTCAAAACCAAATATCAAAAGTCAATAGTAAAAAAGAAAGGTGATATTGCCCAAACTTGGTTTCTCCTCCCTGTCCCTTTTTTTTTCTACTCTATTTAGTGTAGGATTTTTAAATGCTTTTATGAATTATGAGCACAAAATGGATACCATAGTGAGGCGAACTGCTAATAAGTGTGCATGCCCAGCTAAAATCAAGGTAATGTATGATAAGAAAATCTGACTTTTCGGGTGAGTCGAGTGGCTCAGTTGGTTAAGAGCTCGCTCAAGAGTTTGAGCTCTGAGCAACAGCAGTTCAATTCCTGGCCCGAGCTGAGCTGCCGCTGAGCTGCCAACAGGTCACAGGATGGCTCAGCTAAAAAAAAAAGGATTTATTTATGTAAAAAGTTCTTTCTTGTAGTACATTTCAAGTTTAAATTCACTTGTATATAACCTAGAGTTCCTTACCTCAGGCCATGAGCCCATTTTGGTCTGGAGGTCATGTGGAGTATTTAACACGTAGCCCAGTAAATGATTATTACTTTCGAGTCAGCTTTCGATTTTTTTTTAATCACCTGTACCACAGGAATAAATGATAAGAGAAAAATTAATGTTAACTGTTTTTAGTTTGTTATAACTATGTCAACCTATTATAGACAAGTTGCTGTGCTAGGAACCAAAAAATGCATCTTGTTTAAAGCAAAGCCCACTTCTCCCCAGGTGGACTCATCATCACTAATGAAGACTGGGGTCATTGAAAGGGACCGGGTGAGAGAGTGGAAAGGTGGAGTTGAGCTAGGTGGTTAAATGTTGTGACTGGAGATGTTCACTTAAATATTGGTCCAAGTTTTGTGGTGTGCCATGTTCATAAGAGGTGAGACACATTTTGTAGAATAAGCTGTTATCGCAGACTATAGATCCATATATCTGTAGTATTCCAAGGAATGGCACTTATTAAATGCAAAGGTGAAAAACAATTAAGTATCAATGCAACTAAGGTAACTGACACAGGGTGACTTCAGATGGGACTGTTGGGTAAGGGAGCCAATCCAGATTTTTTTCTTCAGTTTCTTATAAAGTTGTTTCTGAGATGATATTGTCTTATCTTTTTGAAGATTGGTCCCTTGGCCTGAGTTAATTATGAGGAGGGGAGGAAAGGAGCCTTGTTTTTGTTCCTTAGTAATAGTCCTTTGACAGTTATTTGTATAAACTCTTCAAAGAAGGAAAACCAGCTGAAAAGTTTGTTTTAACAAACATTTTAAGAAGTCCTTTGGGGTCATTTTTTTTTTCTGATTTTTTAAAAAGATTTTTATTAAAATATAGCTAACATACAATATTATATTAGATTCAGGGACACACCATAGTTATTCAACATTTATATAAGTAAAGAAGTGCTCACCATGATAAGCCCAACGACCATCTGACAACATACCAATAATCTCAATGTTATTGGCTATATTCCCTATGCTGTACATTATATCCTCATGACTTATTTGTTTTATACCTGGAGATTGGAACCTCTTACACTCTCACCTTTACCCCCTATTTAAAATTTTCAATTACAGTTGGCATTCAATATTATTTGGTATTAATTTCAGGTGTACAGCATTGTGGTTAGATGTTTGTATAATTTAAGAAATGATCCCCTGACTAGTACTCACCTGGCACTATACATAGTTATTACCATATTATTGACTATATTTTCTATGCTTTGCTTTACATCCCCATGACTATTTTGTAACTACCAATTTGTACTTTTTAATCCCTTCACCTTTTACACCCTGTCCCCAAACCCCTCCCACCCATCACCCCAACAAATCTAGTACCACCTGACACCATACATAGTTATTACAATATCATTGTCTGTGTTCCTTATAAAATACCCTACATTCCCATGAACACTGTGTAACAACCAATTTGTACTTCTTAATTCCTACAAAGGGATTTGTGGTTATTTGCTGCCTGGGCTAACCCTGGCGGTGCATGGGAGAGGCCAGGCTGCAAACCTAGGATGTCTGCCACCAGTACTGGGTCTGAGGTAGCTCTGCAAAATGCCAGGATACCCCAAGGCCAACTGCCATCTGCCAGCTCCCTTAAGGTTTAGCCACTGATAAAGCCTTGTGCAGTATGCAAATTGGGTGTGGTAGGGTCTCAGGGAGTCACTAGAGTGGGAAGAGTTGTGGTCACCAGGTTAATGTAGACTCTGGCTTGTGCTGAGTCTGAAGCTACTCTTTAGAAGTCTCAGAGCACACTGAGGCCACTTGCAGCCTGCCTGGGGTCTGTTGGACTCTGATAGTTTCCCAAAGAGTGCAACGCAGGCGGGTCTGGCTGCTCATGGAGAAAGTGCCTCAGGTGTTGGAGGAGTTGGATGGGGGTGGGGGCACAGCTGGGTCAGCAGGGTGGAACTGCTGAGCTCGCCAAACCAATCAGACTCAGATTTGGCCATAAGCATAGGAGGCGGGCTCAACACAGGAAGGATGGTGCCGCCTGCTGGCTGCACTGAAGGAGGGCCCCTCACAGGAAAAATGCCGACTGTCCTCCAGCCCTCCTCCTAAAGCCACACAACTTAGTTTGCCCCCCATATGTCTCCAACACCCCCTGAGTTAATGTCCCTCCGCTGGAGCCCAAGGTGAGTGCCTGCGAGCAAGTGAGTCTGTGCGCGGGGCGTTTAAGAGGATGGCTGGGTTTCCCTTTGGTCCCACCTAGATAGTGAGAATCCCCACTGTTTTTCACAGCCAGATGTTGTGGGAGCTCCTCTTCTCAGCACCAGTACTCTGGGCTGAGGAGAATGGTGTGGGTCTAGGGTTTCTTGTTCTGGGGGAAACCTCTGCAGCTGAGAGATCCCTTCTGGTTCTCAACCGTCACACGGAGGTTTGGGGTTAGCCAGTTCCTGTCTCCACCCCTTCTACTAGTCTCAATGTGGTTTTTTTATATCAGTTATAAAACTTCTGTTCAGCCAGACTTCAGATGATTCTTGTGGTTGATTGATCTATAATTTAGTTGTAATTTTAATTTGTTCACGGAAGGAAGCAGGCATGGTGTTTATTTACTCTGCCATCTTTGATCTCCCTTCTCCTTTTTTAACTTTTTTTTGTTTTTTTAAGTTTCTCATATACAAAACAATGTAATAGACGTTTACACCCCTCACAGAGTAATGACTCCCTCCCCCAATCTACTACCCCTCTGATATCATATGCCTCTCTTATTTTTTTAAAATTAAAATTATACTATAGCAATAAAAGGGACATACTAATGTTAATTGTGGTACACTACAACTGAAATGATTTTTCTAAAAAGCACAATGTCATTGAAAAATGTTTATTGAAAAAGAATTCATGCTCACATTGAATTTGTGAAGGCCAAAGAAATTAAAGGCAATGGTAAAGAAAGATATTTTAGTCTTATATCCATGTATTTTGTATACCAGAATACCAGAGTGTTTTACCCATGAAAGCATATTTCAGATTACTTTGTTTTTAGTGCTCGAGGCTCAAGTTTAGAAGTTTCAACCCTTAAATTAGTTTTCTCCCACAATATTTAAAGATTGTTAATATATCAGCATTTCCCTAGCTTGATTAATTTGACCACATTCTTAATATCTGTGACTTGATAACCAATAGGACTGATAATGCTAGCTTCAAACCAATAATATCCAGGGTTAAAAAAAAATCATAGTTAACTAGTAAGACTGTAAAATTATGCCATATACTCTTGTAGATCTGTAATAGCCTGATATCAGTGTTATGGAATATACCATAAATAATGGCTAATGAGAACATTTTAGGAAATCTTGAATTGCCTTCCTTGCTACACTAGTTTTCAGAATGAATAGAGAAATGATCCTGTTAGCTTTTTAGATGTTCTGATTGAATATTTTTGTTTAAAACTTTTGGTTTTTGTATGTATTTCTCATGACCTGGAAATTTTAGAATCATCCTTGCTTTGTTTCAGTTTTCTGTTCCTTAAAATGAATGTTTAGTTAACTGAGCCATTTGGTCATTTCTTCCTTATGCTTTGTAAGTCCAGCGATTTTAATCCTGAACTGTGAATAAATTACCAAAAACTTGCTGAGAAATGCATTTTGAATCAATTTGCCAATATTTGAAATGTATACAT